ATCTAAAACTAAAATTAAAATTACAAATCAGTGTTTGTTTTTTTCCAATGCTGCCAATTTGTATGTATTCCGGCATTGTAAAAAAGGTGCCAATACTTCATTTCTCTATTGCTAATGCAAATCGCTGTTTCCCAGGAATGAAAAAATTGCGCAAAAATTGAGAAATTTCGAAAAGAAAATATGCGGAATGCTGGTTCTGACTGAATAAACTTCCCTGCTCCTCAGTAAAAAGCAAGCCAAATAATTTTCACGCTGCACGGATGCTCGTCATCATGGACTCTTAAAAAGTGAGCAAAAAAAAGCGACTAGAGCGAGGAAAATCAAGGAGTTCAGAAGGTCCGAGGTCAAAATCCAAGAAGCCTAAAGAGAGTCGACTCTTCAGCAGAACAAAGGAAGAAAACAACAAATTAGCAATTTTGCATAACGTCTTAGGACTTACAGTTTCCGACGCTCTAAAACTATATAAATGAGCTTGGTGAACAGCATGCGTTTATTGTACAATTTGATAGGCCGGACAGGCAGGTTCAGGCTCCGGGAGGTGCAGGGTTTTTAAGCCTCTTCAGCTGCTTAATACATTAACCCCTCTCGGTAATTATTTCTGGCTTGGACGCTTAGATGCTTTTTATGCATGCTCGTTATGGAAATCCATAAATTTTGCGGATATGGTTTTCAATCATGCGCGGAATTTCAAAATTAAACAAACAGTTAAGATCTAGTGGTTGCACTAATCTTCAACCTCAGGCGCAGGTATGGGAGATATTGTAATTGGAAGGAAGTTACGAAGTTAAAATTTTAAGAACTGAAATAACATAGTGGACTGTGATCGGCTTAAAAATTTGTCCTAAATGTTATTTCGCCTTAATCTGCGAGTTCAGGGTAAAACTCAGTTTTATGTGCCCGGCATATGATGATACAAACAGTAGGCTTAAAATTTTGAACTATGGCTTCAAGCCCAATCGCTTCACTGACGTAACAAGCTAAGATTTCCAAATCTTGAAGCAACTTTGTTAATCGGATCCCTTGCAGCTATTCGTGTAGTACTATACCGCTGGTCGGCGAACACTGCGCAGTGGAAGTAGCACTGTTTGACTCCGCGGTGGGACAACCAGTCCCTCAACGATTCGTTCCTTCGTTTCGGTGGTAAACTGGTACTGATATATGTCAGGAGGGCAAGCCTGCCATCAACCCGCTTATAAGTAAGCCTCGAAAGAGGGAGCCATCTATAGTCTTACCAATGTATGGTTGCTTTTGGATTTGCTATTACTCTGTCTATTCCCCGAGTGTTTCTGCCCCTCACTGTGAATGAATACGTAGAACTTTTGACTTTGACTATACGATTCACTGCAAATCTACATTTTTAGTTAACAGTGTTTCTGGATTAGAGCTACTTTGCTACACCCGTATATCACCATACTTCGTTTTCTATCGCTCTATACTGCACGGGTACTAGATAATCAAGAAAAAATGTCCAGAAGGAAAAAAAGGTAAAGTGCTAAAACCGCTTAAGTGACAAATTTCCAAATATTTATCGCAATTTTTTGATCCAACCTATAAAAAACAAATTCGTCCAAACGGTGCAAAAAATCAGTTAAATTGCTCCAGAATTAGCCAACTGGAAGCGAAATTTCATTAGCACAGTGAAAGCTAAACTCGCTTCACGCTTTTAAAGAGCTAGAATAAACTGGAAATTAATGAGCACATGAGACCTGAAAAATCCTGAGTTTACAGCGAAACACTGGAAATACTACATTTTAGCAAAAGGAATGTTAAAGAGCAAAATGCACTGTTTGAAGAGAACTGATAGGGAGGGGAGATGCAGGATGCAAAAAATTTTTGCGGGGAGCTAGGTACACCACTGCTAGAACAGAAGTCTTTTCTCCACTTTCATAATTCAACAAGTTTACTAATTATGCGGTGCACGCTGGATGCGTAATGAGCCTGAATTTAGACATCGAGAGCGACAAGACGGAACGTCGGACGAGAACACAAGAACGGCCACCTCCGAGCGGAGCCACGACGTGCCCCAAAACGTAACACCGCCGTGTAATCGTAATCTGTACTCTCGCGGTTCGGATGAAGGTCGTCACGTGCATCAAGTAAGCTGCCCAGCCATAAAGATCCACTGCAATTCAGTACCAATCGAACATTCATCTCCACAGGAAATTATTTAAATTTATCCCATCCTTCGTTTTAACTTTCTAACGGCCGTAATTTGTTATTCAGTGTTTCTGATTTGACACTCAACAGAGAGGATGAAACTGTTGAGTGTCTTCGCTTCTCACGGAAATGTGAAATATAGAGGCAGTTCACTTATCAGTGACGAGGATGCATAAAGTGCCTACAGCCATTATGTAAATACACACTAATATCAAACAAACTGCAAAGGGATTAGTTTTCTGGCAAGCATTATTGAACTGGGGGCTGAGTGCAGATCGAGCTCTAGGAAATGTTCAGCACTACATAAGAATTCAAATTCTCAAGAGCTGCAAATTTCAGCGCCAACTGGAAGACGCACCTCAAAGCAGCAAGCAAGTGTTAGCGCGCCATGGCTACGCGTTAACTTCTAGAGCCAAACTGGGCTATGGCCATTACAGCAAAGTGTGCGAAGGAGTGCACAGAAAATGCGGCGAAAAGGTAATGTATGTGTATGGAATAACTAATTCACAACACAAACCTTATTTGTTGCTAAAAAAAGATCAAAAGAACTCTTCGATAACAAGGAGGTCTCGACTTCGGCAACGTCAAAAATTCCAAGCTGACATTCGCTGCCGATGCTCCGCAACAGACGCCTATCTCAGGACTCTCTAGAGAGAGAAGGCCAAGAAATTTATTGCCTGTCCTACAATTCTGCACTATTTGTTTTCCAGTCAATTTTTGCTTTCTAGCAGCGAAGAACTAGACCAAAGAAAGTTAAACTTCGATCAAGAAAAAAATTTAATCAACTGCATTAAGTGCACCAAGCTTACCAGTGCGAACATGCGTTTCCGAGTGATTTTGAGATTGCTTAGATTCGATCACATTGTTATATTCTCAAAAAATTTCATATTCCTAGCTTAACTGACTTTCCAAAACACTTCCACCAAAAATAATTTGACACGCCTATACACATAATACAGGCCTACGATAATGCTCATTTTATGTATACGGATTCACACAGAGACAGCAAATAATCTTATAAAACTTGAGGAAATTACTCAGCTAAGTTCCCGAGTTGGCATTTTACCAGCTGTACAAAATCGTAATTTGACGTGTTTATACACATAATCCACACGTACAATCAAGTTGAATTTGAAATCTATAGCTCATACAAGGACACAGAATATCCTTGTAAAGTTTCATCTCCCGAAATTCTTTCCCCGCCAAGGAATTATATTAAATTTTTTAGGCGTCCTACGTGAGACCAGAAAACGATGATTTTAAAAATAAGGCATCGCACATGGGGTGGAAATATGCTCCAAAAATTTCAGCTTTTAGGCTGCTGAGTTGAAAATGAATCTCAGAACTGTGATTACACAGAAACACAAACTCACACATAGGGTCTCGACAGTATCCATCTTGCGCAAATGTTGCAGCACAAAACGCATAGCAAGTGGTAGCAGTGTTAAGAGACTGAGAAAAGTCATTTCGATAAATTAAATTTGAAGTAAAACCAGTATGATTAGAAACGCACTAGTTAAGATTGCGATCAAAATAATTGATACACGAAAAGTTACGCAAGAATACAAGCTCAAGTTTATGCCGCGCGAAATTGATATCTGGAAGCGAATGTGTCATCCGAATTTGGTAGCCTTGCTTGATGTCTTTCAAGAAGCTGGAAAAGTATTTCTAGCAATGGAACTTGCTGAAAAAGGCGACCTCGTTAGTCATTTCCAATATTCTGAGAAGCAAAGACACCCAACACCGGTGGTATCACCAATATCGCCCGGACAAGAGCCGAGGATCCACGAAAACATCAGCCGCAGCTATAACCTGCATTGCTCGTACTTATAGGCACGAACCCTATTTTAGCGTCCAGCTCGATATTTTTTTTTGTCCATTCGCTGTTAGTTATAAAAATACTCGAATCAAGATTAATCCCATATCTTACTAACAAATAAGACGATAAAGGGAGAAAAATACGGCCTGAGTGTCTGCTAAAACGTCAACTTTTGCATGACGATTTGCTACAGAAGAAAGTTGAAGGCAAGTATGAGTGTGCATGGTATTGCAGTGTCAATTTACCATTGAGACAAATCAGTAAATCCTAGAACTGCTGATTCTGTACGACCAGGAGATGAGGAAATTCACACTAATTCAGCCCCTCATTCTGCAAAACAGCATAGGCAGACATGATCAACAAGGCAAGCAGGGGCCTGAAATCCTAACTCAATATTTCATTCACATGGAAACATATCCTGGTGGCGCAGAAGTGGAATAATTAAACTGTATATATATATATATATATATATCTCAGTCAGTATAAGTTAGGATAATTGTTCAAAATAGGAATTCTTTATGATTAGTTTGGTGGCAAAAACTCACAATGGTATCACATTAAGTTAACACTGGTGCAAGAGAAAGGCGCCCAACCAGAAGCAACCGTGCAAACCTGGATGAAACAACTCGTTTCCGCGGTCTATTACCTGCACATGCGTTCTATTGCACATCGCGATCTGAAACTTGAAAATATCCTCCTCTTCAACGACAATTCCGTAAAAATCGCCGACTTTGGATTCTGCCGCGAGGTCTGTTGCATAAACCATATATTGATTAAATAAATTATTGATGGGGATTTTGCAAGAAATTAAGGGAAACAATGACATATTCAAAGCGACGACTGAGAAAGAGACGGTAGTTCCATCTTGCGCTCGGGTGCAGTTGCTTTTAGCAATTCATATTGAATCAGGAACACAAAATTCAGCCGAACAGTGGCAAAAAATGACCAAATTTAGTCCGGAGAACAAAAAATTGGACAAAAAACCTAGAAAAAAAACTTTTAGAACGAGCAACCAAGCGATCTGAGAAAGAAGACACCCTTAAGTGATGGCGGTATCAGGAAAAAAGTAGCGTGAATTTACAATGCATCCCGTCTTTTTATGGAAGCAGTGAGTGGACGAAAGATGCTGGTGGGATGGGGTGAGGGGACACGGGATTATCTACAGATACCGATTTGGGTAAATTTTAGGGGAAGTTTTATACAGAAGCCGAAGCCGAATTCTGCTTGCTCCAAGAAATAAGTTTTGAATAGAGGTCATCAAAATTTTGACAATTTAGGTGCATGACGGCGATATGTCACTGACATTCTGCGGATCGAAATCGTATTCCGCTCCGGAAATCCTTCTTGGACAGCCATATCCACCGTTCAAAGCTGACGT